AAAGCCCGCCCCGCTGAGGGGCGGGCTTCCGATGACGGCAATGCAGAACGGGCAGTGTGCACGTGCGCACACCGGCCCGTTCCGCAGCTATCGGGTGAGCAGGCTAGAAACCCGCAGAGAATCGTACGATTCTCGGCGGGTTTTCGAACATGTTGGCTCGACAAAAGACGTGCGACCGTACAGTAGAAACAGTCGCACGTCTTAGTTCACACTGCTCGATTCTCGTACGATCGCGGGATTTACAGTGCTGCTGTCCAAAGGTGTTTCACACAATTGTGTGAAGCAATGGTAGAGAACACATGTTAAAGGAGGAGAGTAGAAATCAAATTTAAAACAGAGGGATGTAGATGGGGTAAACATTATCTTTAGTGCACAGAGCTAGTTCCAAGGTATCTATCACCCATGTCCCCGGATCTAAACAACTCTCTCTTAGGAAATCGCACAGGCAGCTGATGTGGCCACAACTCTGAGAGGACAAGCCTAGCTTCTTATCTATTTTAGCAATGAGGGTCTGGGAACTTCCATGGTCTGTCCTAAACAGCTTCTACCATTTTTTCCCATTGCAGCCAAGGTGATGTGCAGGCCAAGGAGATACACCACACAGACAGTAAAGGTGGCCAAGGGAGATTAGAACGCCTTTCCAGAAATCAAAAGTTGAAACTTATACTGGCAGTCAGAGTGTATGCAATGAATTCTTCATGCCAAACACATAACAAGGTACCAAAACCTCTAGTCTGGCAACTTGGAGAGCATATTTTCAGTTCCAGAATAGGTTTCAAAAACATAAAAAAAAATGTTGTGCAAGCAAAAATTATATTTTACATGGATATCAATATGTAGACTCCAATAATATGGACAACACTTTTTATGCATCTGTATGAGCACGGAACAGCTGTGGTGTTCCAATCTCACTCCCCATACCTCTGAAGCTCAACAAGTATGCGGCCATACAGCGGTGTACAAGATGATGCCATCTTCTAGTGGCCCACTCCACAATGTTAATATATCATGTAGCCTATGCAAACAGCCACCATGTTTACCAGGACCAAATGTTATGATGTTGTTGTTGTAAAGACTGTAAGGTCCAAATACAAGGAGCAGGAGTAAGGGCATGTTCACACCAAGTGCGTTCCAGGAGCAGAGCAGTTACAGACCGGATCAAATGTCCTTATTGTTGTCTTTATTCAACCTCAAATACTATGTAACTATGTAACTAATGGTATTTTGGGCTCTAGCTCACACAGCAGCGGTCAGTTCCAGAGCATGTAAAAAAACTGCAGAAAGACCTATTTTACCTGCTCTGGAACGCATGCAAACGCCCTGGAACGCACTAAAAGCGCATTCTAAACTAAAAAAAAAAAAACCTTTTTTTTTTTTTAACCAAAAATGGCCCGGAACGCATCAATAAGGGGGAAAAACGCGGCACAACCCACTGCACTGCGTGTGCAGAAACTCATGCAGATCTGGTCTGCATTTGGTGTGAACAAGCCCTAAGGCCTCATTCACACTGCCGCACGTATACGCGCGTTTTGTACCATATGCAGCAGAATGGAACCGAGATGCGCCTGGGCAGCGTATTTCTGTGCATATGTGTGTGTTTGCGCACATATACGCACATGCACGCATACAGTTCATTAACATTTCCATTACGAATTATGCATTGTGAGATTGCAAATGCACGCATATACGCACGTATATATACGCAATATTTAATTTTGCTCTTGCGTTGTGTGTGAATGAGGCCTAAATAATTCAAAATTCAAATTGATGACACTGGAAATGGCATTTTTGGCCACTGTACATTTTGAATGTGCACGCTCTGTCCATATTGGGTGTGGAACGCATGCAAACACATCAACAAAATTGTTTTTTTAAACCAAAAACAGCCCGGAACGCATCAAAAACGTGGCAAAAAACACGGTATAACACACTGCACTGCGTGTGCAGAAACTCATGCAGATCTGGCCTGCATTTGGTGTGAACAAGCCCTTACACTAATAGACATGAAAACCAATCTATTTGATACTACGTTACATATTAAAATGACAAAACACCTTCTATAAACATGCTCCATATATATATTTACATACATCACATGATCATTGGAAATTCTCCCTGTGATGCGCCTGCCAACATGAAAGTGGTGTTTTCTGCAGTATCTGTGGTGTGTAGGAACGCTCAGTACACCAAGCAGTGTGTGCAAGCTCTATGGTATGTGTGTTGTGTATGTTCTGTGCTCTGTATTCTCTATGCCGTAAATTTGCCCACCCGCTTTACTTCCTGGAAGTGCAACCTCTCTGCTTGCTTTTTTCTATTACAAACAATTTCTGGAAAAGAGCAATGTCTCATGGCCTAAAGATGTCCACAAACTAAAACTAAACAGCCTGAATGAATAAAAACTATTGCAATTTAACTTTAATCAAACAAAATGTGCAAGAAATGTGTGGTATTATTAAATAGAAATAGACAAATAAGACAAATTCCAATCCACATTGAAGAAAATCATTGCAACAGAGATACATGTGTGGCCAGCATTGCACTTTACAGCTTTGTAGTATTTGTAAAACTTTGCTTCAGAAGAATGAGAAAAACTTTTTGATGAGAGCAGGAAAGCTCATACCTGATAGAGTTCTTCTAAATTGTACTTTATGGAAGTGCTGCTCTCTATGGCGCTTACTGCTTCATGGAGCTTCTGCCATGTATCCTGAGTGTAATTATCAGGCAGCTTTGGTTTATCTGCAACAGGTAGCATTGCAATTATTGAAATGTTCGAAGCATCAATGTATAAAATGTACAAAGCTAGACATTATTATCTGTATACCAATAGAAATATACAGCACACAAGATGTTAATTACCAAAGGAAGAAAATACACTATATATTGCACAGTCAATTCTGATATCCCATGCAGTACTCAAATGTTAAACAGGAATTACAGCATTTACACAAACACTCAAGGCTAAATGTGCCGTAAAAGGTCAAAGGAAATACATCAACAGTGAAGATCTTTTTGAAGTTTTTCTTATGGTCATATTATTCAACTTTAACGATTTAAAGTGAACCTGTAAAGATAGCAACGTAGAAGCCATCACTGCTAACCTTTTGAAAGAAGAACTCGGAGTAAAGTGTTTATTAACCCTTGCAGTGGGGCTACCACCCCACTGCAAGGGTTAACTGGTCTTTTGGTCTAGGGAGGAAAATAAAAAAAAAAAGCTATACTTACCCGATCCTCCGAGCCAGCTTGCTCTTAGACCAGTCCTTCCACCTTCTCCTCTTCTCCGCTGCAGTGGTCTAAGGTCCCTGAGTCATTACATTCTATACACAGTGCATAGGACATGAGGATGCCGATGGACATATCATCCCTGCAGTGTAGGAGAAGACAGGCAAGAGAAAGCGCTTTTACAGCCAATAGGTAGCGAGCACTTTTTTAATGGATTGTGTTTCCTATTTTAGGTGGACGGAGTCAATCTCTCTCATGAGCTCTCCTGGAAGACGATTAAGAAAAAAAAAAAACATATGCAGTACATCTCATGCACATTTCCCCATGCTTTGTATATTTAAAACAAGCACAAACAGCTCTTGATTCTGCCAAAAACTGCTAACTTCCTGTACCAAGGTAACAAATCTGGTTGCAGGGCTGTCATCTTAAGCCTGTTTCATGCTTGTTTTCGGTCAGGAAGCCAGCAGTAAACCAAAGATTAGGATGTCCTGTAAGCTTCACTATTAAAGTCTATACCTAGGCAAAATGAAAAACAAAACATGTTTTCTTGTACTTGCAGTGTTTTTCAAGAGGCAAAACATGGTAAACTATGTATGTATTACAGAGACTTACTGAATATATCTTTTTTTTAGGGCTGCGGAAAATTACCGATTAATTACCCGATTAATCTTTAAAATTTTTGATCGATTAAAATTATTTTGATCAATAATGAAAAACACTTACCTCTCCGCCGGCTTCTGGGTCTTCCGACGGAGATCCGTTGAGGTAACGGACATCGATGTCACCGGACTCCTCCCCCCTTCCCTTCGTTAGCCGACAGAGCCACTTGGGCCGGTGATCTGTCGACACCTATTGAGTTCTGCGACCGCGTGACTTCCGGTTTCGTTACAACTAAGAGGTTTGCCCAACCTCTTAGTTGTAACGAAACTGGAAGTGCTGGCGCTCGTATACGCATTGGCCTATACACATACAGCACAGCAATTAAGTAATAAAGTGAACTAGGATCACACTAATCCAGCACGTTATTATTCTGAGTTGCCCCACTCAAGCAGTGGCCATATTGAGTGGGCGGGGGATTAATAACGTGTTGGATTAGTGTGATCCTAGTTCATTGTATTACTTCATTGCTGTGCTGTATGTGCGTTATAATTAATCGAAAATTAATTTAAAAAAAAGTTCGATTAAATCGAACACGAACATTTTAATCAGGAACAGCCCTACTTTTTTTCCATTTTGCCTGGACATACACCTTAATGGTGCAGGCTTTGGGGCATCCTGAGCTCCGAGTTACTGCCTAAAAACCAGCATGAAGCAGAAGCAACAATGCAGCCCTGAAACCAGAATCTCTGAAACCCAGGTTGGTAATGGCAACTCCTAATATCCTTAAAGAGTAACTTCATTTTTGTTGAGAAAAAAAACCCCCATTCTCTCTAGGTGATCTGTGTACATTGGAAGGAGTTTAACAAACTTTGCTGCAGTTTCCTACCCGTTTGTGTTCTGAAGAAGTCACTAATTGTTGCAGCATGTCCTTTCCAAACTGATTCCTGAATGGGAGGGTCGGGTTCATTATAACCAGCTGGTGGACTTACTGTATTGTAATGGAGGAAAGGTGCAGTGTCGGCATCCCTTTAGTAGTAATTAATCTATAGGGAATATCTCACCAAAAATGAAATTCCTATTGCAAGGGATGCCAAAAATGATACATGGTACTTGTATCAGTGCAGACTTCTGGGAAAATCATCCAATCGCAGAAGATTTGACATTTATGGGGGAGGCCTGTACACTGGTTGGCCTCCAGGTCACCATACTGAACTGAGGGACATACTGGGAAGGGGGCGGGCACAGTTGGCTTTGGCTCTAGAAAGGCAGAGTCAGTTGTCACAGGCAGCAGGGTAAATCCCAACAATGTTGTTGGGATGTTTCCCGACAACATTGAATTGAATTACAACTGTTTTTCTATCATACAAGCAGATATTGATTTGATTGTATAGAAGCCATTGACAAAATGCTGTCACGGTTGCACCGACTTGCCAGGCTCAAAATTGATCGAGAGCCCACTAGATCAATAGGATTGCGGGTGCCAACATTAGATGTTAAAGAACTCCAGAAATTAACCAAACTAACTCACCTATGCTTACCTGATCCTCGGTCTTGTGGCAGTCAGCACTCACCTCTCACCCCCTCGGCTGTGGAGGAGGAATGTCCCTCGGTGTCCTCATGTCTAATGCAGGTGAATGGACAGGCATTAGACATGATGACATCAGCGGGACTTAGGCCACCGGGGCACAGGGGAGAAGAGGCTTAGAGGAGCGGTCTAGCAGCCCGGCACAATTGAGGATCAAATAAGCATATCTTCTCTAATCCAGCCCCTAGACCATAATGAGCAGTTAACTCTTGTAGTGTGGGGGTATCTCCACTGCAAGGGTTAAATTGGTGACCTGGTTAATTATTAGATAGAATAATTTTTCAAAATCATCCCCTAAATGCTGGCCATACACATAACGAAGAATGAGCTATTGCACACATTTGACTGTTTCAAACAATCTTTTTCTTAAAAATGATTATTTAATGCATGAAAGAAAAAAGTAATTTGGCCGGAACTAATTGGGGTTTTTTGCCTGGGCTAATTTCTCTTTTTTGAGGAGATGGATGATTTAGTAATTGAACCACTCAGGTTAGGTGTACTCAGTTCCTCTATAATATTCTTTTACGAAAAGGATTTTCTTGATACATGCATGGCACGGGGATCGGCCTTTCTGTCCCCAGGAATCTTGACCTGCAACTCACGTGTTGTTCTTTAACAGCACATTGTCCTACTGGTTAGTAGGTATAGGTTCTGGATTTAAGTCCCACCACAGATCTGAAATTATCTTGTGCAGGTTTCCTCTTGGTACTCCGCCATCCTCCCACAATCCAAACATCTATTGTCAAGCAAACTAGCTTACTTCCAATTTGGCCCTAGAGTGTGTATGAGTGTGGTAATGTGTTACTATGGGAAGTCAATGAGAGCAGTCAGAAGAAATGTTCTGTTGATCAGCATGATCCATCAAATAATGGGTTAGTAAAAGTATTCATTATTATTATTATTATAATTATATACATTCTAGAATGCTTAGGTTAGAACTTGGTAACAAATCTTTTAGAAACGTACCTTTAAAATTTTTGATAATCAGCTTTTTTGATGCCGTAGGTTTTGAGGCCAGTGCTGAAGACTTAGTTAGTCCATTGGTGTGGGCAACTCGTGTTGAAAAGTTGGCTTTCCTCTGAGTTTCTGACTCCATGGCAATGCAGTGCAACAAAGCACCAAGAAAAGAATTTTCAGGTAGGTGTCCTTAAGCAGGAGATTATCATTAACAGCTCATTTGGCGTCTACAGAGCAAAAATATACAATGAGAATATGCAGTAACACTTGCATAGTAGAAAACAGGTCAATGCATATTATCAAACAATGTGAATTATTCACAACAAGTGAAAACATATGCTACATTCAAAGTGAAGGCTGAATAGATTTCTACGGAGGACCCATTTCTATGCAAACACCAAAGCACTTTTTTTTCCCTTTTTTAATTTGGCAGACATACCTGAAGACAAACTCTAAATCAGCATCAGATAGCTGTTGGCTGGTTTACAAAAACAAACATAAGTGAATGATTCCCAAAGCAAAGGCACCATTGCACACAGAATTGAAAGCCTTCCACACTACAGTTCCTATTGCTAGCACCCCACTTCAGTTACAAAGTGCAGAGAGTGGGTACAGTCTGTTCTAATCTAGACGCTATTCTTCTATATTCTGTCTATTTGTGGGCACAGCAGGGCACCTATGATAGCAGTAGGTTGGGAAGCTGTCAAATCAGCACGCAGGTCATGCAGTGCAATGTACCAGGAAGTAAATGGAGATTATATTAATCTACCTTTGGAGGAAATGAAAAATAAGGTATGCAAAGAATACAAAGCCAGCAATTATCTACAAGTGTTTGTAGATTGTCATTACTAAACATTTCTAAAGGCGTGTTTGTTGTCATTTCAAAGATATGGGTACATTTCTCCTCTTTAACTGATAGTCTGTGTCTAGAGTTTTGGTGTAAAGTACATTTACTTACCTGATCCCCACTCTTCCAGGCTCCAAGACCGGCGTCAGCATCCTCTTCTTCCCTGCGTTCCGGCATTCAGAGGCCTGTTGACCTCAACACTTACAATGCAGGGACCACAGCCTTACAATATACGTGAGAGTGCTAAGAAATAGTCTACAAGCCAGAGCTTGGGAAGGACGACTGCCAGGGGAGCGGGAATCAGGTAAATAAAAGGCCTTTACATAGATCGTCTAGACACTTGGTTCTCAACTGGTGGCTCGTGACCCAAAAGTGGGTCGCTACCCCGTGTTCAGTGGGTCACCGCATGCCTTCCACTTTTCTAGGTGAGAGGCTCCTCAGCCTGCCCCTAGTGCAGCACTGTCAGTTTTTGCACCAAGCAGCCATTCAAAATATGCTGTCCGGCGCCGAGTGTCAGCTTGAGGTGTGTTGGGATATGACATATGGCAGTGAGGGAGCTCCATGAAGTTATACATTGCTTACAGCTCCCTCTTGTGCCCTGTAGAGGTGCCTGGACTGGTATGACATCACATTCTGGCTGCCGGCACCTCTACAGGGCACACAAAGCAGCTGTACTAGCAATGCACATATGGATGGAGCTCCATCAACAGCCCACATTGGACCCCAGGCTGAAGATCCACTCCAGTTCTCGTAAGATAGGGAGACTGGGTGCATCTTAAAAAAAAACAAAAAACACTAGTACAGTGCATTAATCACGCAGTCCTGTGCAACTGACTCCCTGTGCCACAAAATTGCACCTACCGCAAATTCTGGTGTGCGAGGTGTATTGCATTGCCATTTATTTGAATGGCACCCCAAACACAACTCCCACCTACAGCTTGATTGCACGCACAAGAACGCGCAGTACCGCAATGCCGTGCATTCCAGTGCGGTGCGACTTGGGTCATGATTTTATGACCAAAGACAAATGTGGGTCCTGAGGTTACACAGGTTGAGAACCACTGGTCTAGACATTAATGAGCAGTTAATCCTTGCAGTGCTGAGGGTAGTCCCATTGCTAGAGGACGTTTTTTCTTTTTTTGTTTACCCAGAGATAGGCTTTAAAGCAGTGGTTCTCAACCTGTGTAAACTCAGGACACACATTTGTCCTTGGTCATTAAGTCGCAACCCAAATTGCACTGCACTGGAATGCGTGGCATTGTGGTACTGCACATTCCAGTGTGGGTAATCGAACTGTAGGCAGAAAGAGCATTTGGGGTGCCATTGAAAAGAATGGCAACGCACCTCCGGCACCAGAATGCTCGGTAGGTGCATTTTGGTTGAACAGTGCGTTAATCACACAGGACTTTGGGATTAACGCACTGTACTAGTGTGAATGGGCCCTTAAAAACACTGACAGACATACACATATTCTCACACATACACACTCCAAAACAAATTTTTTTTTTTTTTTTTTTATAAGATCCACTCAGTCTCCCTACCTGACGGGAGCTGGAGTGGATCCTCAGCCTTGGGTCCATTGTGGGCTACAGTGCTGTGACGGAGTTTCATCCAGATATGCACTGCTTGTACAGCTCCCTTGCGTGTTCTGTAGAGATGCCGGGAGCCAGAATGTGACACCACTCCGGTTCAGGCACTTCTACAGGACACGTGAGGGAGCTGTAAGCAATGAACGTATGGATGGAGCTCCCTCATGGCCATACCCCTAGCCCACCCCACCTCAAGCTGACACTCGGACTTGAATGGCTGCTTAGCGCGAGAACTGACAGTGCTGCTCTAGGGGGAGGTTGAGGAGCTCCTCACATAGCGCAGTGAAAGACACGCAGCAACCCACTGAGCACGGATTTGCGATCCACTTTTGGGCCCCGACCCACCAGTTGAGAGCCATGACTTTAGAGTGCCACTAAACTCAGGAGTTAAAGCGGACCTTACCCCATATCTTTAGGACAACAACAAACACACCTTCAGAAATGTTTAGTAATGACATTCTACAAACACATACTTCTAGATAATTGCCGGCTTTGTATTCTTTGCATACCTTGTTTCTCTTTTCTTCCCCAGTCTTCTGACAGTAGCCATGTTTACTAAGGGCAGGCTACTAGCTCCCTATTTACTACCTGAAAATTCCTTTCCTCAGGAGAGGAAAATGCCTTTCCATGAGATGAGATTTCCTCGCAATGCTCTGCTGATGTAACCTTCAGAGGATGCAATGTTTTGGCAAACTGAAGTAATTTTTCCCTTTCAAAGCAGGAAGTGAATGCTCTGCAAGTGTAAGTATTTCAAAATCACAGCATTTTACACCTGACAGGTCTAGGTTATTAGCAATCATCATATATAGAGGTATGCATTGGTAGAATTTGATTTTTGAGTGTAAATGTTCGCTTTAAATCTTAAATATGCATTCAAATAAATTAACAAAAATGTATCTTATTTGTGTATCACTCTCTGTAGATCCTCCAATCATCTCTGAATTGGTGCTGACACTTCTTCCTTCTGGAGGGTGGCTACATTTGTTCTTCATGGTCCCTGTGTGTGTTGTAAAGTAGTCACCGTTTCAAGCTTGCTCCCGGGATGGACTACAATCTCAATACAAATTAGCAAACTAAATGTGAGATTGTAGTCCATCACAGGAGCAAGCTTGGAGTAGTGACTACAATAGAGCTGCAGCTAACGATTATTTTCAAAATAGATTAGTTAGCCGACTATTAAGTTCGATTAATCGGATAAACAATAAAATAAAGTTTAAAAAATGGCTCCAGTGATAGAACTACAAGTTTGTATTGAGGTTGTAGTCCATCACAGGAGCAAGCTTGGAGCGGTGGAAGTAAAAAAGAAAAAAGATAGTGTGGTGTGCAATATAGTGAAATGCAAAGTGTAAAATTATACAGCAATGAATGCAGAATGGCACCGGCTATAGAGGACTACAAATCCCAGCAATAGTACATTATACAGCGCAATGCAGAATATCACCAGCTATAGAGGAGCACAACAAATTCCAGCAATGGTACATTATACAGCGCAATGCAAAATACCGCCAGCTATAATGTACTATTGCTGGGATTTGTTGTACTCCTCTATAGCTGGTGGTATTCCGCATTGCGCTGTATAGAGGACTACAAATCCCAGCAATAGTACATTATACAGCGCAATGCAGAATACCGCCAGCTATTATGTACTATGGCTGGGATTTGTTGTACTCCTCTATAGCTGGTGGTATTCCGCATTGCGCTGTATAGAGGACTACAAATCCCAGCAATAGTACATTATACAGCGCAATGCAGAATACCGCCAGCTATTATGTACTATGGCTGGGATTTGTTGTACTCCTCTATAGCTGGTGGTATTCCGCATTGCGCTGTATAGAGGACTACAAATCCCAGCAATACATTATAGAGCACCCTGTGGGGGGAGGGAAGTGCAGGCTTACCTGAGCAGTCTTCCAGCAACTTGCTTCTGAGATTGGACCTGTCTATCAGCTGCTGTCATCCCCCCACCCCTGCTCCTCCTTACTACATCTCCCCGCGTGCCTTGCCGTTCGTGGATGGGCAGGAAATGTGAGGCGGGGAGGTGCGGCGTGTGGATGCGAACGGGTCTGGCAGCGGCGAGCGTGAGGGGTGGAGGAGGTGCGGCGCACGGCGTGTGGAGCTGTGAACAGGGCCAACTGATCGGAAGCCGATTAATCGATTATTGAAAAAGTTGACAACTTTTTCAATAATCGATTATAAATCGATTAGTTGTTGCAGCCCTAGACTACAATACACACACAGTCCATGGGGAAAGAAAGTAACCACCCTACAGAAGGAAGGACAGTGTCAGCACCAATTCAGAGATGATTTGAGGATCTACAGCTGAGTGTTACACAAACACGATACATTTTTTTAATGGTTAAGGTACTTGAATGCATTTTTAAGATTTAACTCCTGAGTTTAGTGTCATTTTAAAGTATATCTAAAGCCCACACTTTTTTTGTTAGCTCTGGATAAGAGTAGGGAATGTATTAACCCCAGTCAGGTCCATACCTGAGGCACGGGGCTGTGCTGGCAACCTTATCCAAGGCATAGACAAGGCAATTTGCCTTGTGTCCATGATGTCAGTTCACGCCACCTCACTGCGGTGGTGTGCGATGAAAAATGTAGGACACGCAGAACTAGTTTTTGCACAGGATGTTGCAATGCACTACACAGCAACGCACTGTGGTAGAATAGAATAGGAATAAATGAAATGTTACTTTGTGACATTTCATTAAAATAAAAAAAAAAAATAAAAAAAAAAAAAAGGTAAACAGTGTGGTGCTCTGTAATATTGTGCATTATACGATTTCCTTCACAGCGCACACCAACAGCCGTGTGATAGGACTTGAACAGGTCCTCACTTCCCGTCTCACAGACACAATCAGAAGTGGGAGAAAAATCTCCAGAGAAGAAGGGAGATCCTCTTTGCTGTCACCAGAAGAAGTGCTCCCATTGGAAAGTTTTCCATCTACTTCTGTTCTTGTGACAACTTGTAATCTTCTCTCTTTCCAGTGGTCACCAGGACAAACAGAGAGATTGAATGGTGCCATCGGGGGCACAGACAGCAAGAAAAACCTGACAGTACTTCTATACTCTCACCTCTATCCAATACTACAAAAGAGTTTTGGCTTTAGATACACTTTAACAATGAATGAGGAAAAAGGGTCACATGAAGGGAAATGGTAACATGGGGGGATTCATAAAAAGTGAAGTAGACAGAATCTAGAGCAGTTGCCCATGACAACCAGCTTCTCTGTTTCATTTTCAAAGCTTAACTGAACAGAAAGGATAAGCTGATTGGTTACTATCCAGATTCTGTCTGCTCCAGTTTTTGAGTTCCCCCAGCACATGATTCTCACTATACCTTCAATGTCTACATAAAAGGAATGTGTGAAGCTAATGGGAAGCCAAGTGTACACAAGAGCAGGAGCTGAAAGGAAGGGCTGACCTGTGTGACATCTGTGACACAAGGAGACAAGGGCCCAGCTCTGCAGGGTTAATGCTGATCTAATCCTCATCACAGGACAGTGCTGAGCTTGGTGACACTGCCGGCCTAATGTCAGAGAACACGAGCACACTGATCACAATACTGGGCTGCCTGGGTGCTCCCGGCTCGCCATGTCTGCTGTGCAGCCCATCTCTCTTCCGGACGGCAACACAAACACCGATCACCGGATACTATCCGGGAACTCACCATGCAGAACCGCGCATGCGCCTCCTAGTCTCGCGTCTGCAGCAAACAAGAATGCGACCAGACCTGACTGCGCAGGCTCATCTCCTCGCTCTCCCTGCCTAGTTACGTCATTAGTCCGTGCCGGATAGAATCCCTTGCGCATGCGTGGTTCTGTATGGTGAGTGCGGGTTGTGGTCTTTGTATTTCTTTATTTGAATGAAAACATTGCAGATTTATTGTAAGTTATAAGTCAGGGCACTGGCTGAGCTGTCAGTGTGAAAACACCGTCATACTATAGGAAGGTCTGTAGGAGCTGAATCTGTTTTAGGGATGTGTTATCCAGCATGTGGAATGACAGCTAGAATTACGTTAAATAACGTTTTCCTCCCAAATGGCCCTCTCACTTCACACCCGCCCCAGCATGGCAGTTATGAGGAGTACACAACCCAGATCAGATCTTTTACATTATGTGATCATATGGCTGCAGTCTTGTTTGTAACCACCTTGGTATTTGTTTTTATCCATCACTTGTGGATTATTGACATCTTCTGCAATTATAGGATAACTCTACTTTTGGTATTTTCGATTGACCAGCAACACCCCTGTTAGTGTACCCACTTTTCCTAGGTCATTAGAGTATAGGTATCTGGGAGGCTCATCGCCACCGTTTATAAACTCTACCAATCTGGTTCTGGCCTTTCCACATATATGTGCCACAGTCTCTATTTATTTATTTATTCATACAAACAGGCCCAGGCTCTGCTAAGTGAAGGGGCGGTGGATGGGGATGTGACCGCAGCCCTGTGGTCTATGAGAATGCAGAACTTACAGCCAAATTGGGCATTGGAGTTTTGCTGTAGCTGGACTTCCACCTGATTCTACAGGGCAAGGAAAATGAACCATGTGAGGTGGTGATAAAATAATATTAAAGAAGTCTCACCTTGTATTATTTTTCAAAGAAGATGGCCTCTTGATTGACAGCTTTTATTGTCCCTGCACTTTCCAGACACAATACAAGGCTTCCCTTCCAATTCTAGGGCTTGTGCTGATTCCTGGGAGAGTGTGCCCTCTCCCTCTGCATTCCTGTGACCTCGTTCATTTCTCTATAGTGCAGAGACAGTGAGATAAGAGCTGTAAATTAAGAGTCTGTCTCCATTACAGAGCATGAAGAAGAGTGAACTGGCAAAGTCTGTAACTCGGTTTCTACATCACATAAAATCATGGGATGAAAATCAACATACATCGTGCGAGTTACTGTAACTGACCGAGCTATGAAAACAATTTCAAGTTGCAACTTCTTCTTTGAATCCCAATTTAAGAGAAATGGAGGCTTTAAACGTTTCATGCAGCGAAATAACAATTCCACTCCAATGCATTATACATGTTTTTTACTGAACATTATAATGAACACGTGTAAAATAACTCAGGCTGCTTTGTGAACTGCTGATTGTGTGTTATAGCCCTACTTGAGCCATTTCTATCCCTGTAAAGGAACACTGAATGACAGGTGAAAGCAGACATGTATTACATGATGTGATGTTATTAACTTCTAGTACAGGAGCGCTCACAATTTTTCATCTGGAGATCTACTTTTCAAATGACGAGCCCAATGAGATCTACCAACGAAAAAAGGGGCGGGAGGGGGGCTACGCGATCGACTGGTAGATCGACCGGTAGATCGACCTAATGGGGACCCTTTAGTGTATTCACTTGCTTTTACTGCTTGATTTTCCCAACAGGACCTCTTAACTATTTAGAAGGACAGATGGCGCATATAACCATCAATCAATATTTACAACAGGTAATGTAAACACATAGTTTTTTTTTGGTCTCATATGCTTCTGAAACAAAAATGATACATGTCAAAATTAACCTTTTATGTAAAACAGCCCCCAAACATTTTATAAGACTGTGGTATCTAAGTATCTGGCAGACCTATTTGAGGACATCCCACCCCCTGCTGTGTAAATGATGAGGAGATTTAATAACGTGCAAGCTTTTTATGTCTTGAATCAGTAACGATTATTTCTGTTGCTCCACTTGAACAGTTCTCATTGGAAGGGCATTGAGATGTATGGTTATGAATGTGTGAATGAATGTTTTTGTTGTGCCCACCTGCGTGTGTGTGTTTTAAGGAGTTGAGTTGTCTTTTTGATAATGGAAATAACTGATAATGGAAACCTGCAAAATGAACACCTTTGAAAAAACCTTATGTAAAACAGTAACATAATATTCTTTTTGAGGGTTCCTTTCAGGTGTTTTTTCATCTTGGGAAATTGCTGGTTCAAATTAATTGGGCTCATTACTAATATTTGTGATACGGTGTTACATCTATAGAATATTGGAGAGTTGTTTATGTAACTGTGAATAAGATCGTTCATTTTAGTGATCAACCATTTTAGGTTAATGGATGACAGTTATTATGAGATAACTGGCAGGAAGTCAGCAGTGTTTTGGTAAATAATCACTATAGGCCATATGTATCATTGTGTTCTTAAAACTGGAGATATTTCCATACAGCCCCCAATTGAGACTTTCAGGGCAAGTCTAATGCTAATTGTCGCTCTAGTCCTTGCTAAGAACGTGTTGATGCCTAAGACTTAATATATATTATATTTTGCCCCCCCTCCAGCAACTATTTCTCCTGTCTCTTTTGTTATTTGTGTTTAGTTAGAAATGTAAAAATTTTGGTTATAGCAATGTTATCTGTCTGCAGCAGAATGTTTTATATATAGAGTGTCTACATGAACGTTGCATCATTGTCTGTAGTTAAGTTTGACTTGATTTAATATAGGTTTTGGAGGCTATTGAAATGAAAAATGGCTTTGCCTGTGCAGACCTGGTTTCATTCAGACATCCACACATTGCAAATCCACGCTTACAGGTAAGAAAGCATCTGTCCCTCTCCCATAGCACACACTTCTTATCGATGCTGCATTTGATATTGATTGTTTAATCCTGATGGTTAAAGAGATTATGGTTTTGTTACCTCAATAAACCTCTGCTACAGAAAAATGGACGTTTCAGCAATATATTTATTTCTGTTCTATCTAAAAGAAAGCTGTTGTAAGATAAATTCAGACTGCCATAGCTGAACAAAACTGTTTCACCAAAAGAGTGGCTCTACCCACGATGCCAGTCAATAAACCAGTATCACTTACTACTTATTAACAAAATCATTACATTTATTGTAAGAATTAAAAATATTACATTCTCTTATCTCTAAAGGTCTGAAATTGTTGTTCACAATATTCATATATTCCTAAGAAAGTCTTCTGTTTGGACTCTATTAGAATCTCATCAACTAAATGGGTGTCTCAATGTATACAGTGCACCAAAACCACAAGCTACAAGGATAGCCAACAAGTAAACGTATGATAAACTTTCAAATGCCTTGTGTAAATCGATAGACAAAGCATAGCTAATTTGTTAGGATTTGAATCCTGGCTACATTGTGCCACAGATATCAATCGCTCGTCTAGTTTGATCTGGTGCCAGTCGGTTTCTAACTAATCCCAATTGATCCAGATGTATGTATTCGTTAGGGAAAGAGTTGATATACACACAACCAGAATCTTAGTCATAATCTTAGTCACAATTGATTAGGTATATAGGTCTAAAGTTAGTTCTATCCCAGATCCCAGTTATCTTTACCTGGTTTAGAGAGCACATTCATAGAGATTGGATTGTTGGCCACCCAAAAGCATCCTTCCTTTTTATTGGCATTGGATAGTAGACATACTGTAAATGTTGGGCCAAATTTCCTGCAAAATTTTAATGTAAACATTGAAAATCCATCTGGGCCTGGGGGCTTTGCATGTTTAGGTGGTTTGTGAATGACCAAGATTTCAGCTGTAGAAAACTATATGTGCAGAAAAATCTGCATGTGAGTAGTGTAATTCAGAACGGTTAATAGTAGGAAGAAAGCACCCCAAGTTTCAGCTTATGTAGAGGATTGAATTGTTGATACAGTGCAACATAAAACTGTGACATTACAACTTATACAGCCTTTAAAGGATTTTGGGAAATGTTCTCTGTTGAGCCTGATTTTCAGGATAGCAGTTACTGGGCTTCAATTTACAGGCTAGCTGTGTACCTGGCTTATCACCCTAAGTAAAATAACAATGTTTAGCCCAGCACAATGTTTTTCCTACATATGCGTGAAACACAATTTAGTTCCGTGTGTGTTCAGCTTGTGATATTTATTTTTTTGTGTGATTTTATTTTATGATCAATTAGCAGTGCCTGATATTCCATGGATTTAGTTTCTATGAGTGATTTATTCTCCTTTTTTTCAACCTAGAGAATAACTTTATATTTCTTCTTTGAATGTTTGCTTTGTGGGCTGCCCAGTTGATAAGTAGCAACGATTGTTCTGGTTTGTTCTGCTTTAAAAAAATCTTTAAAATGAATGCCAATAACCTGAAAGAACACTCATTGCTCAATGTGTTTAGACACCAGTGAAATAGCCTTGCTATAGGTACAAGACCATCAATATGCATCTTAACAGGATCATGATCTGACTAGGGGGAAGATAGAATCTGTTAAATGTTAGGGATCAACTGGGAGGGTATATAAAAGTGACCTATTTTCAAAAATTGATGTATTCACTTTCTTTGTTTACGGTGTCTTTATTTTAGTACAAACACTATTATTAAAAAACTGTGTTTCTCAGTAAAATATCTTTGTATGCAACATTATTTATATTAAATTATATATTTTAGTTGTCTGCTCCAGAAGATAAGTGTCAGCAGATGCTGGAACCTCCTTATGATGAGATGCTTGCAGCTCACCTAAGGTAATGATTTTGTATTGTACGGCGTCCCTAATGTTTAAAGGAGAACTATGAGGTGAGTGAATTACACTCATCCCCATAGTTGGAGCCGACCTGCGACAATATAACTGTCACATGTCGGCTCTAGTGACTGAAAACATACCACCGCACGCTCACTACCCAATCATGTCCCTATTCTACTTCACTCGCCACTAATAACTTTAGAATATTAATACCCCTA